GCAGTGGCTCAGGAGATGAGTCTTTGAGTTTGTATAAACATCAACAAGCTGAAAAATAAAACCAAAGTTTTTTTGTTTTTTTTTGATAATGTAATCTTGTTCAAATTGATTTCATAAAATTGGTATCGAAAAAAGTATCGTTCAGGAACCGGTATCGAAGTCAAGGTATCGGTATCGAACATTTTTGAACGATACCCAGCCCTATCGAATTCCTCTGACATTTTTCACTCAGAATCTTAACCCCCAACTGCTCCAGGTGTGTGTTCACGGTGTGTGTTCACTGCTGTGTGTGTGCACTTAGGATGTGATAAATGCAGAGCACTAATTCCAAGTATGGGTCGTCACACACTTCACACTTATAGTTATTATCTAATTAATTATAAGTTATTATAATTATAGTTTATATTAATACTAATATAAATATAATATATTAATAATATACTTTTGTTTAGGATAATAACCATAGTATTTGATAATTAAGTGTTCCTGAATATAAAAGCTGAAAAAGGTACAGAAAAAGGATATTTTCATTATCATATATTTGCTGTGCTAATTCGAGCACTAAATTCCTAAAAATGTACATTATTTAAGTTATATTTAGTTCTAAATCATTCTGTTTCAGTACTTTTTAGGGTGGACAAACTTCTCGGTACGCATTAGACCCAATTCCTGTGGGTTTTTCTCCTTTCCCTGCTTGTATCATGTGAAAGTTACCGGATTTACCAGCTTGTAAACTGTGTTTGCTGACTACACACAACCAAATCATCTCGGCACAACTGCCTCCAAAGCATCTGCACATGCAAAAACCACATTCACACAGATTTCTGAGTGCCATGTGTACTAAACTTGACAGATGTAACCATCTGTGTGTATTTGTGAATCATACTGTGAGTTTCTGCACCTGTAAAAGCTTTTGGGACAGTGTCTAGAAGTGGCTCGACAACAGATGGTTCACCTCATTTGTTGCAGTGAGGGGCTACTGCATTTGTTAGGGGCGATTTGTGCGCTTACAACACATAAGCACTAGATGGCAGTAAAGAATTAACCTGTGATATTTGTGTTGGACTGAGATAGTCTTAACCTCTTAAGACCCGGCAAAACATTTTAGGAAAAAATTAGTATTTTTTCATGTCATTACATTGCTTAGAGCATTCAAAAATTTTAATTAAAAAAAAATGTAAAAATGATATTTCATTCACAAGTTATGCTACGTCCTTGGTAGAGGACATCGGGACTCAATTTCTTTAAAAATTAAAATAAAAAGACATGAATGGACATGCATAGGCAAAAACAAATGATTTTTTTAAAATCACCAATACATTTTTAGTTTTCAGGATTTTTTTTTTTTTTACCAAACTTTGTATAAAGATAATTCTCAACTATGTTATAACAGAATTATTTGATATACCATTTTTCTTTATGCGAAATGTGTGTAAAATGGCCATAAACAGGTTTTCTCATTATATAAAATATATCTATAAACTAAATCTAATTTGCATATTAATGTGTTTTTGGGGCAACATGTAATGAAAAAAGAAGTGTAATAATGGGAGTAATAATTGACAAGATTTTCATAATAATATATAATATTTCATAGGAATATTGAAATATATTTTCTTTCCCTATTCATTTATTGTGTCTCTCAATGCATAATAAACATGCTTTTAGTCCCGGTGTCCTCATATGAGGACATGTATGAAATCAACGTCCTGTTTCGTAACAGAAAGTCATATTTTGATTTGAAACCCCATTCCCTATTCATTTATTGTGTCTCTCAAATGCGTAATAAACATGCTTTTAGTCCCGGTGTCCTCATATGAGGACATGTATGAAATCAACGTCCTGTTTCGTAACAGAAAGTCATATTTTGATTTGAAACCCCATAACATTTTCCTGAAATGTTGATTTATGACACACAGTTTCAAAATTAAGTATACACTGACTACAATATTCTAATGCATATTCCTCAATAAGAATATTTGCTTGAGGTATCACAAATGAAACAATTAAAACATGGAACACAAATGTTTTACACTATCCAATCACAACTAAGCAATATGTTTAGAAAATCTACATCAATATGTTTGAATAAAGGGCAAAGATATTCAATTTCCTAGGACGGACATCATTTTTTGACACTACTGTATATACAATTACATAATATACACTAAATACATACTTAAAACATAATGT